CAAACATTCTACAGTTTCATTAACTGTCGAGGAAGGATGTTCATGAAAATCAAATAGTCCGGTAAGTACCTATTAGACCTTTTACTATTAAGTTTCAAATTAGTTTATTGTATTATTTTATGTCAAGTACTCTCTTAATCTAGTACATTATTACTATAATAATTTCATTATATTTTATAATGGTAGTTTGACCGTCGCGGTCGACATCATGCACTAGTTGCTATATCTGAAAGATCGATAGTGAAATCGCAGTCGAAGTTAAAAAGTAGCAGTTAATAAAATAGCACGGATGGGTTTACTGCGAAATTATGACAACAGCATAACCCTAACCTAAAAAATTAACACTAACGGTATAAATCACGGTCACAGATTAATTTCGCGGCGAATAAAAAATCATGGTCACAGATATACTTGTTTATGCGATTTCACGTTTTAGCCCAACTCTACATTGCAAGAACCGCTTTTGAATGGAATCCTTATGAAAAAAGTAGACTGGTCTTTCAGCACAGCTTTGGCGACGATAATGTTAGAGGAGCTCAGAAGTAGAACCCCATGGCAAGTTTTCACCGAGGCCCTTTAATTCAGGAATTTTAGGATTTATTATATTATGTGATGAACCAGGTATGCTAACTAGAGATCAGAACAAAAAATCGCAACCTGCGATTGGCTCTCATAGGAAACTGCGATTGCGATTTATTCTATTTGCGAGTTTCAATTTAGGCAACCAGTATTCCTATAGCTGCGATTTGCGACTTTGTTGCGATTTTGCTTCGATTGTGATTTTGTAAACTGCGATTTGCGATATTGTCGCGAGTGTAATTTTGTGGTCTACTGAAACATTTTATAGTAACCTGCGATTAAATTTTCTTCCTATTATTATTTATGTATAGATAAGGTATTATGTTCTATATAATATACCGGATGTTTTTCAAGGGTGGTTCACCTCTATAACTTTTTATTTTTTCTGATAAAAAAACGAGATTTGGTATGTTATTTAACATAAATTAGGATTGATTGACATATTAAATTGTTTATGGCCACTTCCTCTTTCACCGGAAATGACTACAACTTTTGATTTTTAAATGGCACCCTGGGTATTTTTTTTACTTTATTCGATAAAAAATGGAATAAAATAGCATATTGTATGTTGTATGCGGCAACTTTTGACATTTTCGTTCAAAAAATCGTATTTTAAATTTCAATCTAGAGTGTCATAGCTGTTTTAAAAACTCTAATTTTTAATCAAGATTCCATGGAAAAATAGATTTGATCGGTTATTGTTTTTCGTGAGAATAATACATCAATCCATCCTGATTTATGTCATATACTAAAGTATCAAATATGTTTTTTTTATCTGAAAGAATAAAAAAGCTATAGGGGTGGCCGGGCGTAGCGCAAGTAGTTAGTGTGTCGATCTGCTGTGCGAGAGATGGGATGGTACTGGGTTCGATCCTCAGCCAGTACGGTCGCTTTATTTATTTAAATAAAAATATTGATTTATCTAAATTGAGCGACCAGCGAGCCGCCACCTCAAGAAAGGCAATGGCAAACCACCTTGAGCCTTGTACAGCCTCTCAAATAGTGCCGTTCGGATTCGGCGATAAACTGTAGGTCCTGTGTACTTGTGAAACACTGATTACACCATAGACTTAAAATAAAATATAGACTACACTATTTACATCTCAACGCGGACAAACAACCTTTTTTGTACACATGTTTACTTCTGGGTACAGTCGACCGAGCGTTCCTCATCCAGCCTATGTTGTCACGTCTTTAATATTATCAATATTTTTTTTCTTGTTATACACATATATTGAGATATTAATACTACAGTTTAATAAAGTAGGTTTTAATATTCCATAGATGTATTAAATAGTCCTTATACTACTAAATTATAAGTCGGATACTGTTTAATAAGGATAAGTTCTTTACAATATGACAACACCGATTAGAGGCGAGGGAGCCTATTCATTCATTTATTACCTTGTAGTACGTGTCGCACGTGTGCGGTAAAGCTTTGTTGCCGCTATCTCCCCGGCTGTATTAACGCATTTTCTTAGCTTGTAGTCCTTAAGTATTTATTTTATTGACTTTTTCTGTTCAAAAACTATAAAATATGGTTCGCCAGTGCCAAATTTGCAAGAAATTTGACTTAAATAATCCATTTAAGTCTTGAAACGACTTTTGACCGGTAGGCAACTCTCAATTTACCCATTGGCAGTCAGTGGCGTTGTTGTAGAAAGGCGCTTATTTAGATAATATTTTAGTAAAATGTAAAATCTGAATTTTTCTTTTACATTACATTATTTACTTACTTACATTGTAACAAAATCATAATTATAACCCTGTTAATAATTAATAATGTTTTTATTAAAAATATATTCCGGTTTATTCTAAAATTATCTTCAGAATCTAAAATAACGTACAAGAATTTTAAAATGATATTACATTATGAAACAATATTTTTTAATATACCGGGTCGTCTCAAAAGTGGCTCAACCGTATAACTTTTTTTATTTTTTCAGATAAAAAACCCGATTTGTATGTTAGTAGGTATATGACATAAGTTAGGATTTATTGACGTATTCAATTGTTTTTGGTCTCTTCCTGTTTCACCGAAATGATTACATCTTTTGATTTTTAAAGGCACCCTCGGTATATTGCTACTTTATTCGATAAAAAATGACACTCTGAATAGAATGACATATCATATCTCAACTTTTGACATTTTCGTGTCTTGTCTAGGCCGGTTAAAAGATGTACAAATCGTATTTTTAATCATACATATGTCAATTTTTTCAAATCGAACAAAGGTGACTCATTAGCATATTTGGAAAAAAGCATTTTTATGAATATATTGATACCACACACTTGGTATTTCGAGTCAAATTGTCGTTATGAACCGCGTGTTACAATTACAATTAAACCATATGCGAAAATGTCAAAAGTTGACATATGATATGTCATTCTATTCAGAGTGTCATTTTCTATCGAATAAAGTAGAAATATACCGAGGGTGCCGTTTAAAAATTAAAAGTTATAGTTATTTCCGGTGAAACAGGAAGTGACCAAAAACAATTGAATGCGTCAATCAATCCTAATTTATTTCATATATTAACATACTAAATTTTATTTTTTTATTTGAAAATATAAAAAAATTATGGGGGATGAGCCACTTTTGAGACGCACCCGGTATAATAAAGACAGTACCGAGTTAAATAAATGTAGTTTTTATTTTATCCACTTCCTATCACCTTCCTTGCTTTAATGGAACAGATTTATGTTTTCTCTAATTTACATAATAAGACATCACTTAACCAGAAAAAAATTACAACAATCATATTTTTTTTTCTCTCCCTGTCGCCGATTCTATTATATCTGTGGAATAGATCCTGTTTTGATTAATATTAGGGGTTGTAAATGTTTGACTAAAATTAATAATTTATTATTAATTTCAAAAATTACCTAATTTCGATTATAAAATTTCTTCTATAACGTGTATTTTATTATTTTTATCCTTTTTGGACTCTAAATTGTTTTTCTAAACTTTTATTTAAAAAACCTGTCCTAAATCTTAATAAAACATAAAAAGTTTAAATACGATATATTTTTAATTTAATTATAGCTTCATTAAAATAAAAAAATTACCCGGCTATGATACGGAGAGTTCAGGTGTACTTGAGAAACGAAAGACAGTGTTGTGTTTCTCGGCAGAGTCGTCAGGGAACGACCGTTACGACAGAGACAACCTATCTATCGCTCGTGTCGCACTCGTTATAACCTAAAACAATAACACAACAATAACAAGACAGTGTCTGACCGCATGTTCCAGCTATTTATGAATGAGATGCTCAGTCTATATTTTATTTTAAGTCTATGGATTACACACATCACGAGTACATGCGAGAGGTAGCCGACGCGGCGACGCTTTGTATAGAGTATAGGTGTATAGGCACTGTAAGAAGATAGGGGTGAGCCATCTTAAAAAAAAATATTCTTTTAATTTTTTTAAGGATTAGATAAAGAATTAGATAGTTGAGAACCGTAGAGGTATGTGTAGTTGCAGCAGTTGCAGCATATATAAAGTTTTAATACCTATAATATGTGCAAATGTTAAAAAAACTTAAAAAAAAAACAACTGATTTACTCTTTTGAACTGTTAAGCTATAGATACATACACAGACAATTATATACCTGGTACAATACTTAATATTATAATTGCAATCGCAGGTTACAGTCGCTGCGATTTAAAAATAGCAATCGCAGTTTTACTCATCTCTAATGCTAACAGAGTCATATTCCTTATCACATATTATATCTGCTACTGAATAACGAACATTTTAAATCCTAAATATAACATTATCAGAACATACTTAGGTTTTGATATTAACCCTGGTATTGAAACGGCTTGATCTTGAAATAATCATTTTTCTATCTTCACATCTTTTGGAAATCTGGAATGAAAATTATATATTAGCAATACAAAACACAAGTACTGTTTTTAACCCTGTATCGATTTTTGTAACCATGTAGTTACATTGCACCTTTAATTCATATATTACTCTAATTCAGCTGGCCACTATGTCCACTATCATCCGTTGACAGCACGCGACAGACTGTAAAGATTGTATTTCACCAAAGGGGTTAAGTGGGTTATGTTTTTATCTATTACGTGTAGACATAATACATATACGTATTTAGACGTTTGATGCATGTACTGTAACTGAGGCAGTTATTTCAGGAATATATTAGACCATTTCAAGGTATTTGATGTTTGAAATCATTGTAAAAAAAGTGAAATCACTGTAACCATATGGCTACATTGCTTGCTTACGTTTATGATGTGACTGTATAGTTACATTGATTCTATGCGTAACTTAAGATCCAGTACGTAAAAAAAATGTTCTTCTCTTTTATCAATTCAACATGAGCTTTGGAGAAGTCTGCATCTTTTATGGAAGGCTTGTCTTACACGAACTGTATTGCCTGATATACCTGATATGTCGGATTTTTCAGATTCAAGTGAAAGTCACGAAGGGGAGGAAATCAAAATCCAAAGTCTGGCTTATGAAAGTGTTGAAAGAAGGGCCCACTGGAGTTTGAGAACAGAGACGTTGACGAAAGTGACGTAGATAAGACTTCATATCAAGAAACGAGGGATGAGGGTCTTCTAAAGCAAAATATTCTTCCTCAAGCAAAAGAAGAAAGAAAGAAAAACAATGTTCACTTGGCTATAACTGATAAACAATTCACGAGAACAACGTTTTCCAAATTTAAGTTATTATTCCAAAGTCAAGGTCTCGCTGAGAGGATCGGTAGACTGATACTAAAGTAATTTGAAAACGCTTGAACAACATCGGAGGAGTTCTCTAGAATAATATTCATTCTCATTTGACTAGGAATACAAGAATTCTTGCACTTTTGCGGTATATGTTTCTAGAAATATTTTTAGGATCGGATACTATACCGGGTGCGTCTCAAAAGTGGCTCACCCCTCTACTTTTTTATTTTTTCACTAAAAAAAAACGAGATTTGGTATGTTAGTATATGACATAAATTGGGATTGATTGACGAATTCAATTATTGTTTTCGGTCACTTCCTGTTTCACTGGAAATGACTACAACTTTTGATTTTTAAATGGCATCCTCGGTATTTTTTTTACTTTATTCGATAGAAAATAACACTCTGAATTCTGAAGTGAATATCATATTATATGTCAACTTTTGACATTTTCGCATATGGTTTATTTGAAATTATAAATTGCGGTTTGTAACGAAAAGTTGACTCGAAATACCAAGAAAAAAATGCTTTTTCCAAATATGCTAATGAGCCACCCTCGTTCCATTTGAAAAAATTGAGATATGATTAAAAATACGATTTGAGTATTTTCTAACTGGCCAGGACAAGACACTAAAAACATTAGACGATCAAATCTATTTTTCCAAGGCTCCTTGTTTAATAATTAGTGTTTTTAACATAGCCATGGCACTCTAGATTGAATTTTAAAGTACGATTTTTTATTAAGCGAGAATGTCAAAAGTTGATATATGATATGTCATTCTATTGAATAAAGTAAAAAAAATACTGAGGGTGCCATTTAAAAATCATATGTTGTAGTCATTTCCGGTGAAACAGGAAGTGACCGAAAACAATAATTGAATGCGTCAATCAATCCCAATTTATGTCATATACTAACATACCAAATCTCGTTTTTTTATCTGAAAAAATAAAAAAGTTATAGGGGATGAGCCACTTTTGAGACGCACCCGGTAGAATATTCAGTTTGAAAAATATGTTTTATAAGCACCATTGACTTTAGTTTTAAGAATGGATCTTTTTGATTTAAAAATTGTGATTTTTCGCTAATCATTTTCAGATTATTCTCAATCATTTCCAAGTTTTTCATTGTAGTTTTTGATGTCTCTTGCAATCCTCTTTCTTACTATCTATTATCTTATTATCATATTCTACGTATGCTGCTCTCGGTTTTCATTTCTATTATTTTCTTGAGAAGTTCTTACGTTTCATCAGTCAGTTTATTATCTTTGTTAGTAACAAATTGTTACATCGCTCTGGGCCTCCTATTTCTATTGCACAGTTTAGTACAGTGTCCACGTGTGCTTGTTTCTTCTTCAAGCAGGCTGTTCATATTCACTCTTAGAATTCTTCTCTTAGCTAAAAGCTGCAAGAAAACTTTTTTTCCCTTTATATACAGGGTGGCGCACTTTATTCGCCTCGGTTTATTATACGAAAACGGAAAGATGTAGAAACAAAATTTTTTATAGGTATATGTAGAGAGACAATGTGCATAATTTAAAATTATTTTCAAATGTACAGGGTGTGTCAGAACTAAGATCCATACCAAAATTATATTTTTTCTTATGGAACACCCGGTATTTTATTTCATTTTTGGATTCTTGGGGATAAAATAAGGCATTTATTATAAGGGCTTAATATGTTTAAATGCTTTAGTTTTTGAGATATTTAAAGATATTTAAATATGCATGCTATAAAAAAATTTTCAACACCCTGTACATTACTTTTCAAAGTTATTTCTTGTGCTGACTTTGAAGCCAGAGAAATAAACTTTACTAAAAAATGTATTGCTTCTTTAAATGTATACAGGGGTATCAAAAATTGCTGGTCTTTTTTAAATATTTATTTTACATAGAAACTTCGTTATTTTAAATGCAACACTATGTATTTTTTAAAATAGATCGAAACATATTTAAATGCTCTTTCAAACTATATTAGGGTTTCCTATACCTATCTGGCTCAGATTTTGAATAAAAAGCGATTTTTCAATAAAATGACAATCAAGATGGCTGGTGACGGCATGGCAATTTGCTAGTAACAATTATTTTCAAAATCGACATTAGTTTATTGATTTTATTTAAATTTATAACAGTTCACTTTTATTTAATTTACCTACCATAGTTTAATAAGTAAGTATTTATTATTTTATCAAGAAAAATAAAGAAGTAGTTCTTTGATTTATAATTAATGGTAAATAAAAATAATTATATTCGCGTCCAGTCCGAATGTATTATCTTGATTTTACACATATACGTATTACCAATATACGGAGAGTACCGCTTAAATTCCTGTCCCGATGTTGAAGGATGGCTATAGAATGTCAATGCATTTCCTACATAAGTCTATCCTTGTTCGGGAGGAGGTTTTCTGCGCTTGCTCGATCTGTAAGCACTTTGATTGGACAGTTCCAAATCATATGATATGTTTTGTTTTGGTTTTATTTATTTTAAGTTGAGGTTAAAGACGTTCTAATAATTGAATTAAATCTTTCGAAAAATTGGAAGTTTTTTGTTAAATATTCTGAAATCAAATAAGTTTGATAATGTAACATTATGCGCATATTTATCAATTGAGATATTTTAATCGTATCCAACATGTTATGGCAAAACACTTTTTTCAACCAAAAGTTTTCAGATATCTTCGATTTAGTTATTTTCGAATGTTTATTTTGTTTATATCTATTACAAACTCAAGGAGCAACAGTTTTTTACAAGTAGTGTTAATTTTGATGCTGGTGCAATACTTCTACTCGTTAAAATATGTTTATTATAAATATTACAGACATTTTAAAAAAAATAGGCTATGGAATAGGTATATAAAAATTATTTTATATCTGTCTCTCACAATGGGGGGGCTCCTAGTAGCGTAATAGGTATCTGCAGTGCGATTCTGTAAACATTTCCCTGTCTAGTGACTCATCAATCGTATACAAATAGCATAGGCTCGATAGGAAATTTCTTGCTACAGAGCTTACAGAATCCCATTGCTGATTTCTAAAATTCTATTTCTAGATAGGCTTCCCGCATCGTAAAAACTCCTATTTTATGGTATGTAATTAGTATTCTGAAGGTATTAAAATATTTTAATATCAATATAGTTTTTTCACTGAAACTCGAGTTAAATCTTAATATACATTATTCATATTGTCGTTTTAGAGATTGTGCTTTTATACTTACTATTATGAAAATTTACTGAATAAAATATATAGTTGCAATCCTTTTACTGAACTCCTTAATTTCTTGTTTTATGAGGGATAATTTTTGCTTATTTAGGTACTAATTTTAATCAGACCATTTTTTAATGAACTCATTTATATTTATATCATATCGTTCTAAGTAGACTTTGTTGTGTTAGACAATTATTATTAAATAAAACGAATGAAAAAAAGTGACAGGTACGATATTTTTTTTTTAATTCAAAAAATAATTTAGTAAAACCACAATTATTAAGAAATTGTCTTAAAAACTTCGTAGTACAAATTGCATATCTATTTCACTTTTTTTAAAATTCAAAAAATAATTCAGTAAAACCTCAATTAAGGAACTGTCTTAAGAACTTAGTATTACAAATTGCATATCTATTTCACTCGACTTAAAAATTGCAGCAAAACAAAGTATAACAGTACATTTTTTACTGTCTATTGTTTCTTTTACTGCCCATGTATTTATGATCAATAATCAACATCAGTCCTGGTTTAAAATGAAACAAGTAATTCTTTATTATTAACATATTTTTTATTAAACAAATATAACTAAAAGTATGTACATATTAAGTTTATACATAAATCAAGCTAGATACAAAAAATATAATTATTTACATTGTTGCATTGTAAATACTCTTTTATATTATGAAAAATAAACAATAATAATTTACAATAAGACAGTTTGTGTGTAACTGTGTAAGCATTAGAATTAGCCTTATGTAGTCTCTATTTTTAGTCTTTACATTATAATGTCTTTTTTATTTTAAAATAGTAAGACTAAATATAATGCTTTTAACAATTATTGATTTTTGAATTAAATTAGTTTCGTATATTTTTGTCTTATATTAACATCCCTTTCATTCCTGATTTTGCTTTCATGATACAAACGAACATCGAGAAAAATTTCTATTATTAATTTGGTTAGTTGGCTTCTACCACACAAGAAGCAGTAGCCCATTCCCATTGTTCTATTAATTAAACTACAGCAAAAGTCTTTAAAACTAAATCACAAAATTGTCAATAAACGCACAAAAATTAAAATACAAACGAAAACACAGTACACGTGGAAAACAGAAAGTTAGAGAAAACTCTAATGGCGACTGCCCAAGTCAAACTGAAAACAAAATCCACGCCGACGACGCGTCCAAAAATAAATCGATAACCCATCTCGACACCATTCGGCCAATAGAAAAGTAGCATTTCGGCGCATGTGCATTACATCCATCTACTGAACAAGGATGGACTTATGTCAAACTCGATCTTCTGTCCTTCAATCCTGGGACATAAATTCTCTCATTGCTCTTATGGAGAGGCCGCAGTATATTTTAATTAAAATGTATTTGATTTTACAATACGTAGTCCGTCTCTGCGTGCATGCACTATTTCAAGGCTAACGTCAAAACTCCCTCCCTGTCGCTGGCCCACGCCGCGTCCCGGGCATAGACAAACTAACAAAAGCAAGACGCGTCAACGCTGTACTGCAAAACGGCAACAAGTTTGATAAGAGTTTATTACCGCGCTTGCGTCAACTGGCCTTTTAGACGAGGACGGTTTACTTATGGATTGTGTATTTTGTAGTAGTCTTTTAGACGAGGATGTTTTACTTATGGATTGGGTATTTTGTAAAAAGGATGTTTAATTAATAAGCGTTTATTAAAATCAAATACATTTATTTCCATTTCCATCGGTAAAATAAACAATAATTTCTGGACGTAACAGATATAAAAACAAAAAAGTCAAATAAACGAAAACGTATTCCTCTTTAATAAGAGGAATACGTTTTCATTATTCTTTTCGTTTATTTTAATAAATAACAAAAAGATGATAAAAAAACAACAGTTATATGGCAAACGAAATAAAAGCATTATTCTTCAAAGGTACAAAAAAATAATTATGTATATTATAATATTAATAATAGGAACAACAAGAAACATCTTAAAAATATACAACTTTTTCAAATATAAAACAAAACATAAACTTCACATTTCCACAAGAATTTAAAAAATATAAACATTTAGAGTCTATTATAAAATATAAAGCACGAAAATTCAAATCATAAAAAGATTTAAAAAGATAAAGATTCTTATAACTTACAGTCAATTTGTAGGACCTTCGGTTTGTGTACGTTAGCGATGTAATCACAATAATATGTATAATCACAGTAATTATTATGCTCTTCATAAGTGTAAAATGTATTACATTACTTGTTTTCGTTTTGTACGCTAATAAAATAATAGTAATAACCAATCAAAACGCAAAATCAGGAATTCAACAGTTCGTTCAAGGCAAAAACGTTTTTCGTTTTATTTAGGTTAGGTTTGACGAGTGCGACTGCGCGATGAATTCTGGCTCAACTGGCCAGCGCAAAAACAATAATTCGACTTCCTCAATCGTTTGAAAAGTCTTGCTTTTGTTAGTTTGTCTATGGTCCCGCGTCGCTCTCTTCGGCTCTGCGCACGTAATTCATTCGTTTCTCGTGCATGGCAAGGTGCGGCCGGCAGCTTTCCGGAGTTTTACGTGTTTTTTGCCGATCGGGCTCTTTCCTTTTTTGGATATATTTAGAGAATCTACTGTGTTCTGCCGATAGGTAGTACACACGGCCCAAAGGTAGGTAGTACACAACGGAATAGACAAAGAAATGAAATATGTCATCATAATTATCGTGACAGTTGTTCTCCCAGTGAGGCAGGGTCACGCAAATCTAAAGAATGCCCTGCTCCCCGTGGGAGGGATTCTTTTTATGAAAGACGTTCTCGATCTCGGTATCGCAGAAGTCGATCTCCTAGGAGTCGGTCTCTCAGAACGACTTCAAACCGCTCACCTCGACACACTAGCCCTCCAGTCACTCGATGTCGCAGCAAGACACCGTCAAAGAAGTACCCGTTATAAGGCTGTATGTTCAAGGGAACGGGACAGCCGCAGTCCGAGTGTCGCTATCTCGTTATACAGTAGATCGAACACGGACTTTTTAGCAAGCGAAACTAATAATCCTAGTCCTGACGGCCGTAACCTTAGTGGTGCGGCGTCATATTCCAATGTGCTACAGCCATAGACTTAAAATAAAATATAGACTGAGCATCTCATTCATAAATAGCTGGAACATGCGGTCAGACACTGTCTTGTTATTGTTGTGTTATTGTTTTAGGTTATAACGAGTGCGACACGAGCGATAGATAGGTTGTCTCTGTCGTAACGGTCGTTCCCTGACGACTCTGCCGAGAAACACAACACTGTCTTTCGTTTCTCAAGTACACCTGAACTCTCCGTATCATAGCCGGGTAATTTTTTTTATTTTAATGAAGCTATAATTAAATTAAAAATATATCGTATTTAAACTTTTTTATATTTTATTAAGATTTAGGACAGGTTTTTTAAATAAAAGTTTAGAAAAAAACAATTTAGAGTCCAAAAGGATAAAAATAATAAAATACACGTTATAGAAGAAATTTTATAATCGAAATTAGGTAATTTTTGAAATTAATAATAAATTATTAATTTTAGTCAAACATTTACAACCCCTAATATTAATCAAAACAGGATCTATTCCACAGATATAATAGAATCGGCGACAGGGAGAGAAAAAAAAAATATGATTGTTGTAATTTTTTTTTTCTGGTTAAGTGATGTCTTATTATGTAAATTAGAGAAAACAGAAATCTGTTCCATTAAAGCAAGGAAGGTAATAGGAAGTGGATAAAATAAAAGCTACATTTATTTAACTCGGTACTGTCTTTATTATACCGGGTGCGTCTCAAAAGTGGCTCATCCCCATAATTTTTTTATATTTTCAAATAAAAAAAATAAAATTTAGTATATGTTAATATATGAAATAAATTAGGATTGATTGACGCATTCAATTGTTTTTGGTCACTTCCTGTTTCACCGGAAATAACTATAACTTTTAATTTTTAAACGGCACCCTCGGTATATTTCTACTTTATTCGATAGAAAATGACACTCTGAATAGAATGACATATCATATGTCAACTTTTGACATTTTCGCATATGGTTTAATTGTAATTGTAACACGCGGTTCATAACGACAATTTGACTCGAAATACCAAGTGTGTGGTATCAATATATTCATAAAAAATGCTTTTTCCAAATATGCTAATGAGTCACCTTTGTTCGATTTGAAAAAATTGACATATGTATGATTAAAAATACGGTTTGTACATCTTTTAACCGGCCTAGACAAGACACGAAAATGTCAAAAGTTGAGATATGATATGTCATTCTATTCAGAGTGTCATTTTTTATCGAATAAAGTAGCAATATACCGAGGGTGCCTTTAAAAATCAAAAGATATCATTTCGGTGAAACAGGAAGAGACCAAAAACAATTGAATACGTCAATAAATCTAACTTATGTCATATACCTACTAACATACAAATCGGGTTTTTATCTGAAAAAATAAAAAAGTTATACGGTTGAGCCACTTTTGAGGACGACCCGGTATATTAAAAAATATTGTTTCATAATGTAATATCATTTTAAATTCTTGTACGTTATTTTAGATTCTGAAGATAATTTTAGAATAAACCGGAATATATTTTTAATAAAAACATTATTAATTATTAACAGGGTTATAATTATGATTTTGTTACAATGTAAGTAAGTAAATAATGTAATGTAAAAGAAAAAAAATCAGATTTTACATTTTACTAAAATATTATCTAAATAAGCGCCTTTCTACAACAACGCCACTGACTGCCAGTGGGTAAATTGAGAGTTGCCTACGGGTCAAAAGTCGTTTCAAGACTTAAATGGATTATTTAAGTCAAATTTCTTGCAAATTTGGCACTGGCGAACCACATTTTATAGTTTTTGAACAGAAAAAGTCAATAAAATAAACACAAAAGGACTACAAGCTAAGAAAATGCGTTAATACAGCCGGGAGATAGCGGCAACAAAGCTTTACCGCACACGTGCGACACGTACTACAAGGTAATAAATGAATGAATAGGCTCCCTCGCCTCTAATCGGTGTTGTCATATTGTAAAGAACTTATCCTTATTAAACAGTATCCGACTTATAATTTAGTAGTATAAGGACTATTTAATACATCTATGGAATATTAAAACCTACTTTATTAAACTGTAGTATTAATATCTCAATATATGTGTATAACAAGAAAAAAAATATTGATAATATTAAAGACGTGACAACATAGGCTGGATGAGGAACGCTCGGTCGACTGTACCCAGAAGTAAACATGTGTACAAAAAAGGTTGTTTGTCCGCGTTGAGATGTAAATAGTGTAGTCTATATTTTATTTTAAGTCTATGGCTACAGCCAATTATATCTGAAAATTCCGAACAGGATGAGATTGTCCCGTCAGAACTGGTAGAGAGTGAGGAAATTTCAGATGAGGTAAGAAACATTTTAGGTCCGGACCCAACCATGAAGCCAAAGTCCAACTTTTCTCTACACAAAGCCGTGAAACCAATTTGGGAGCATATTTTAAATTTTGGGCTTCCCAAGGAGGAAAAGGATAAACTTTTGGATAAATACGAAATACCAGAGGGTTGTAGGTTCCTTACACCCCCCGCTTGAATCCTGAACTGGAAGCCAGTATGAGTAACTTACAAACAGCTAGAGACCAAGCTCATTTAAACTACCAAATACAGTTAGGTAAAGTTTTGGTAGCCTTAGGCCCCTCTTTAAACACTATTTTAGAGGGGAGAGAGATATATTCAAAGGCTATCAGGGACAGGCTTTTGACTAGTGTTGCTGATTCTGGACGAATGATTTGTAAGGTGGTCAATGAGATGTCACAAAAACGACGTCAACTAATTTCGCCTTTAATGAATAAACAGATAAAAGGTATAGTAGAAAAGTGTCCCCCTGGCGAATTCCTCTTTGGGCCTAATCTAGGAGAGAAGATCCAGACAGCAAAAAGTATGGAAAAAGTTGTGAAAGATATTAGGGTTTCTCAGTACCATAAATATTGTCCTCTCTCAAACATTTCTCCTCTTCAAAAAAGAAAGAAGGGGAGAGATCACACACCACCATTAGAGGTCAGTTAAACAGGCGACGCCCGCCCTACCGGAGGAGGGACGGAAGACCACCGAAAGGGCGACCCTCAGATCCACAGAAACGGACGTCCAACTTCAGAAACCAGTAGAGGTAAGCAATGTCTTAGCCGGTCGGCTAAAATATTTTAGGAATGCTTGGAAATCAGTGACATGTAACGTATCAGTCTTGTCTTGGATCGAAGGGTACAAAATTCCGTTTTGTAAAAAACCTCCTCATTCTAATGCGTCAACAAATCTACAGGTTCATAATGACGAAGACGGACCAATGACCTTGGCCATCCAAGAACTTGAAACGTTAGGGGCTATAACAAAATGTGATCCTTTGCCAAATCATTTTGTTTCTCCCATATTTTTAACTAAAAAATCTAATGGAAAGTATAGGTTTATTCTTAATATATATCTTAAAAGGCTTAATCGATATGTAACGGCGCCTTATTTTAAAATGGAAGATTATAGGACAGCTCAACGGTTGTTAAGGAAGAATTTATTCATGACAACTGTTGATCTAAAAGATGCTTATTATTCGATTCCTATGCATTCAGAAATCGTAAATACTTACGTTTTGCATGGAAAAATCAATTGTATGAGTTTACATGTGTCCCTTTTGGACTATCAGCAGCACCGTATTGTTTCACGAAGCTGCTTAATCCAGTACTTTGCATCTTACGACAAAACAACATACTTTGTGTTAATTATTTAGACGATTTTCTTATTCTTGGAGAATCATACGAACAGTGTCTAAGAAATACAAGATTTGTGGTTAATATGTTAGAATCGCTTGGGTTTATAATAAATAGAGAAAAAAGCTGTTTCATCCCCAGTAACCGCCAAACCTTTTGGGATTTATATTTGATTCAACTGTTATGCAGATGATGCTGCTGATCATGACAAGCTAATCATTTTAGACAAAAACATTTCTGTAAAATTAGGGAATTTGCAAGTTTCATTGGTACTTTAGTATCAGCCTGTCCGGCTGTAAAATATGGTTGGTTATATATTAAAGCTCTAGAACGTGAAAAATTTATGGCCTTGATACAGAATAGTGGAAATTTTGATGAAATAATGGTTGTTCCCCATTACTTACACGAAGATCTGCTTTGGTGGGAACAGAATATTTTGAAGTCAGTTAACGACATAAGAACGGATGTATTTGCCAAAGAAATTTTCACTGATGCTTCTCTGACAGGCTGGGGAGCATGTTGCGACTTAGAAAAGACCCACGGATTCTGGTCAGAACTTGATAAAAAATTGCATATAAATATTTTAGAATTAAGAGCCATTTTTTACGGTCTCAGATGTTTTGCGAATAACTTAACTAATGTTAATATTCTGTTACGATGCGATAATACCACTGCCATATCGTACATAAATCGAATGGGTAGTATCCAATATCTAGAACTTGCTAAATTAACGCGGGACATATGGAAGTGGTGTGAGAATAAAAACCTATTGATTCTTGCTACATATATAAGTTCAGCTAACAACTTCATTGCAGATAAGGAGTCAAGACAAATTTCCCCCGAAACGGAATGGTCCTTATCACAAGATGCATTCAAGTTGATAGTTAACAAATATGGGAAACCTAAGGTTGATCTCTTTGCTTCGCACATAAACAAGAAATGCGATAAATACGTTTCTTGGCATAAAGATCCGGGGTCATATGCTGTTGACGCGTTCACAGTGAATTGGAAGGGACTTTCTTTTTATGCTTTTCCACCGTTCAATTTAATTTTAAGAACCCTTCAAAAGATAATCCAAGATAAGGCTGAAGGTATCGCGGTTGTTCCGTTATGGAAGTCTCAACCATGGTATCCACTGTTTTCTAGGTTGAAGGTAGGAAGTGAATTAGTTTTAAATCCACATTCTAATTTACTTTCTTCTCCTTTTAGAACTATCCACCCTCTGGCTCGTCAGCTTTCCCTGGTGGTCGCCAGATTATCAGGGAATCGCTTTTAAAGAGAGACGTCCCAGAAATAGCTGTAGATACGCTAATATCTTCAATTTCCGAATCCACTATGAAGCAATACACCACAACATATCGCCTCTGGTGGAACTTTTGCCTGGAGAAGAATATCTCTGTATTTGGACCGGCAAATAGAGACATCATGACCTTCTTACAATATACATCTGAGAAATATAATTATAAGTACGGTGCCATAAACTCCAACAGATCAGCTTTAAACCTTATTTTAATTAACGATATCGGGTCAGACCCTCTTATAAAAAGATTCATGAAAGGAATGGCGCGTCTGAGACCGGCCCAACCAAAATACGGCAGTACGTGGGATCCTGAAGTTCTACTTTCTTACATAGAACAATTGCCTGAAGATTTGGACCTTAACTTATTATCCCATAAATTAATAACACTCTTGACTTTAGTTACAGGAGAGATGCTTCAGACGCTGTCTTTGATCAGGCTAACCAATATACTGGAAAATGAACAGGAAATTCAAATTAATATAACCGATCCAATAAAAACTTCAGGTTTAAATCGGGTTCAGCCAACACTATATCTTCCCTTTTTCAAAGAGAGGCCTAAACTTTGTCCTGCCTTGACGTTGAAAAAATACATCGATGCAACAAAAGTGTTTAGAAAAAAGGAGCATGATTTTGTATTCTTAACAATTAAAAGACCTCATTCAGTTGCTTCGAAACAAACGCTAAGCAAATGGGTTAAGAAAATGTTAGAACTAGCAGGGATAGATATTTCTCAATTTAAACCTCACTCGACAAGACATTCTTCTAGTTCTGCCGCATTGAGACAGGGAATTTCAATTGAAACAATACGCAGGACAGTAGGATGGTCCGAAGGGTCATCTGTATTTGCCAAGTTTTACAATAGACCTCTCTCTGACAGAACTGCATACGCCAAAGCTATTTTAAGTAATTCTGACAAAGCTTAATTTACATTTATATGTTCAATGTTTAACAATGTTTTGCCGTAAGGCCTAGTTTAATTTACGTTAAATATGTTCTTTATATATTCTTTACTTGTTCATTATTTGTTGATATAACTATCGTTATATGCCAATTTGTTCATTTTGGTTGCATTCAATAAACGTTTTTGATATTTAAGATATTTAGCTGCCTTTCATATACCACTCAAAAAAAAAACTTTCCGCACCAATTCATTAATTCGCAACCAACAGATCTTTAAACATCTACGTATTGTAAAATCAAGATAATACATTCGGACTGGACGCGAATATAATTGTACGATCAAACGAACTTACCTGAAGTGAAGTTCGATCGTAATTATATGAAGCGTCCAGTCCGAATGTATTATCTTCCCTCCCTTCCCGTCTTACCCCATGGTCGCTTGAATTAATGAATAAAACTTTAAAGAATGAATTACGTGCGCAGAGCCGACGAGAGCGACGCGGGACGCGGCGTGGGCCAGCGACAGGGAGGGAGTTTTGACTTTAGCCTTGAAATAGTGCATGCACGCAGAGACGGACTACGTATTGTAAAATCAAGATAATACATTCGGACTGGACGCTTCATATAATTACGATCGAACTTCACTTCAGGTAAGTTCGTTTGATCGTACAATTAAATATTGGATTTTCTATAAAAGGACCAATTAAGGCAAATTCATTTTCTTCACTTCCAACGACAGGTTTCTGCCTAATAGGTTTTTCATATAGGTACATATCAGCTCTGCGAAATAAGAAAAGTAGTTTTTCAAAGAAACGCTTTTCAAAAAAATTCCTATTTGGATATCTTTGAGCATAAACCTTCAGGCCAACAAGCAATTGTCCTCACAAAATCACTAGTAACATAATCCATTCCTTCTGCCAGCAGATACTCCTTCATTTTTCTTGATAAAATAATAAATATTTACTTATTTAATATTTTAAATTAGAAGAAATTAGACATATTAAACCCTTAGTTAACCTTATATAACTTAAGTTTATATTTAATCGTAATTAGTTTGTTTATAGTTACGTAACAATAAAAAACAAGTATAAGCTGGCTTCTTAGGTATTTAAAATTCATTGAAATCTCAAGGTGCAACAAAAAATAGTTTTATTATAACTTTTACTTTCTTCAGAATCGTTTATCTCCTATTACTGCATTCTCCTTTGCAGTTCTTGCAGGCGATTGTACAAGAGAAGTCATGTTTTTTTGCAGGAACACCGCATTGTTTCACATTGCGTGTTACACCCACACGTATCGAGTGACTTCCAAACTTTGTTTTTTTTCAACCACAGTGTTACCCATTTTTCCTCAACTTCCATCCATCCCCAGCTAATTGGAGCAGGTAGATCATCTTGATATATTTGGTCAGCTCTACCCCAAATATGACCCGCCTGGTATGCTGCCCTTAATGTGTGTTCATGTAGAGCAGCTCGAGATGATGGTATAGCCGTAAGTGGCCTATTTTTAGTTGCAAACAAGTGTTTCCTGGTTATAGTTATGTTATTAGTAGACTGTATAGGCGTACCACATATTTTTCAAGTTCTTGAAGCACATTATCTACTAACTTCTCGCGGGGGAAAGATATTGCATGGAATGCAGTTGTTGTATCTTCTGTCCAAGTTTTCCTAGCCGACCGTTTGCCCTTTGATGACAGAAAAGACACAGTGTCACATCCAGAGAAGGCATGAAAGCCGAATAGAACTTCTGATTTTCTGTCACCAAGAATTTCCACAATACAGTGAACAGGAATGTATCGCAAATTTTTGAAGAGCTATAGAGCAACCACAGGTTTTCTAGGCATAGGCGTTTAAATTGAGAAAAAAAAAAGATCTAGCTAAACCCAAAATGTCAGTGTCAGCAGTCAGCACAACGAATTAACATCGATTTGGCTCCGTTAATAATCATGTCTTTAACGTGCATGATTATTCGTCCATCTGCTTCCTCCATCTGAGCACAGATTACACCTTCTAAGTTGGTAAAACGGCCAGTTGGTGACCTGCCGCTGTCGCCCACATTAGTTACTACATTATAGGAGTAACAATTCTCAATAATACTTTCCAGATTACTTACATACTTTCCAGACTTTTACACATAACCGTATCTTCTTGCTCATCTTTAACATTACGACTACTTCTTTTGTATAGACGTGCCGACGCGACGTGCCAAACACTTTAGATGGTATTTGGCTTTTTGGGCTACCAAATCGCCTTTTGCCAGTACGGCTAGAAGGCGCGTATCACCAAGAATTTTAGCAGAGTGCTCCACTTTTTTTACACATTGTCTCAGTAGCACACAAATGTAAAACATTTTTTTTATTACCTTGTTCATTAATATGAAATATTTTAATATTTTCATTAATATGAAACAAACATCTTTTTTTACATTTACCAATGGTGCAGTTGATCTTGTTGCTCGAGCAGAATTATTTTCCCCCCTTTGTTGCGAAATAGATGCCTGAGAGTTTTCTTGAGACTCACAGCAACAAGCATGTTGCCTGATTAGATTTAGATAATGAAGAGAGGATAGGAGTATTTGCAGGACAAACAGTTTTTCCACCACCAATCTGACAGATACAACATTTTTTCCAATCTATTAAGCTATCTAGGATGCGGTACTGCCACCGTTATTTTATTTTTATATTTTTTCATTTTTTTATGCCACAAGGAAGTGTGGCATAACGCAAATATTACGTTAAAAAACAAAAAAATAAAACCGAAGCCATGCAATTAGTGTAGGTACCTATTGTAATAAAAAATCTACTCACCGGCAAACGGTTTAATGATTAATATTTTGTTCGTTGCTCAACATAAATTATTATAAGATATTAATTTATATTGCTTCTTTTGTTTATTCCACTATACACAGTCAGTGGCGTCACTTAAAGCAGGTTAAAAATTATTAAAAGTATAAAAATTACGCGTTTATTTCTCGGGTAGGGATGATAACCATACCAGTTTAACTTTGTTTATTGATAATAATAATATTAATAACAATAATAATTAATAATTGAGTTATTAGTTTTTAGTTAAATTTTATAAAAATATGTCACCAAATATTATACAATTGGCGTTGGCACTAAAATTTTGAATATTTTTAACCTTTTTTGTAAAAAAGGGGTGAAATTTGAGGTGCTGCGGCTCAAACCATTACTTAAAATGCTCTAAATAACAACTCTGACGAGTGTCATGCTTTTAACCCAATTTGCTACGTTTTACCCTATTTTGAGGGTCTGCTGCATAGACTATAAAGGAATAAAATGCTCACTGGGAAGTTAGGGATGGAACCTTTGATGTTAACAACAGCAAAATAAAACACTAATTCACCACAATACATCAAAACACTTTACTTTTGCACTTGATGTGTATTTTGTTAACCATGTTAGCATCATCAGCAGATGATTAAATCTTAGAGCTTTATGTATTGTGGCGAATAACTGTTTTATTTTCACAACCTCTAATTTAGTTGACAATTTATTACTGGTTTTATTACATCAAATTGCATTCGTTTCTCGGTTTAAAAATATTATAAGCTTTAAAAAAATGATGTTATCGTTTTTGAGGCCTTTTTAGAGCTGGAGCCCTTAATCCTCAGGGATCCCGGGCCAGGGCCCATCGGGTCCCTACGTAAAGACGGCAGACGGCACTGCTGATGAGTAACATATTTATATCTATATCGATTTATATTATAATTATTACAGTATATAAATACTTGAAATTTGTTAACCATTATACATACAACGTACGTCATTCAATCTTTACAAAATGTACATTAGAAGTATATCATTATCTGAACAGACCGGGGGCCACATTTAGCTTCGCCGCCCCGGGTTCCCGGCTGGCTTAGTCCGCCACTGGATCCACGTCTCGCTTTAGAAATTTTAATAGAATAATTTCTTTCTTTAACTCTCTAGTTACACCAAATGTATGATTGTTATTAAATCGATTTGATCACTGGAATATAGCAGAAATATTGATTAAGTCTTATTCATATTTAAACTGTGTAATAATATGATTGATTGTACAGATTTACTTACCAGACTTTGACTTTCAGGTGCCGTAAGTCAATACCCCCAAATCAAACACACATGCCAACAGTATCAATTTTATATAGAACCCTACTTTGCTTATTCATTTGCCTAAGTTGTTATCTCCAGAAACATTTTTTTTATTTCTTATTTCTGCAAGATGAATATCTGCTATCTCCCTATTTTGTCTGAAAAAATAGAGCAACACGAAATATTGAGTTTTATTGCCCCCCCCCCCCCCGTATTTTTAGATTTTCAAATTAGCTCATAATTTGTGAGATACATAAGCCAACTTATTTTTTTTAAATACGACCTGCATTTTTTATTTCAGGTTTTGAAAGAACTCAGTCTTCTGAGTACAATGATATGCCACACTTATTTTTTTTTTGTTTCGGGCATTTAGACACAATTTATTTCTTTATGTTTTTTTTTAATACTTAATCTATTCATCGTCACAATTTTGTGACGAGCTTTAAAACTTAACAATTACGTGTTTTTCATTATTTTATTGTATCAGATACAACAAAATAATATAAATATACTATAAACAATCAAAAAATTTCCACGGAAGATGGGTATTTCCACGGAAAATGAGAAGTAGAATGGTCAGCGAGGCTCCAGGACCTGTCGCCAAGTCTTTTCTTCCGGTGAAACAGGAAGTAACCAAAAACAATTGAATCCGTCAATCAATATATGTCATATACTAAAATACCAAATCTCGTTTTGTTATTTTAAAAAATAAAAAAGTTAAAGGGGTGAGCCACTTTTGAGACGCACCCGGTATACAAGTATCACACATCTATTTTTTTACTATATCTATCAATTGATTCGTAAATATTTTATATTATAATAGAATAAAACATTAAGGTTTATATTTTGTCAATATTATTTGAATCAAAGTCATGTGTTATTTGCATTTAATTAAGAATATAAGGTATAAATAGTATTTAAGCCGGGGTATCAGACCAAACAGTTAAAATTAGGAAAAAATTATTTTGTTTTAATATGTGATCACAAATAATGCATGTACTACAGAAAAAAAACTTTTGAAAATATAACCATATGTTAGTCACAATGCCCAAGTGAGTATAATGGAAATGAAATTAAAAATTCATACATTTTTTGTCAATTTATTATAATTTCCAAAATGGTCAAGGAAATAAGATTTTTATTACTAAGGATAGGCAGCATCCATTGTGAAATATTGAAATGGGGAAGCAATGTCTTGAATGCCATAGCTTCCTTCATCTGATTCAGTTTGATTCTGTATATCGTCCCTTGTCCATTTCCACGTGAATATTGTTTTTCTTTCATTCTTCTGCTACTAGAGATTGACCCTCATCCTTTGTTTCTATTCTCAAACTCCAAAGAATGGGTCCTTCCATTTTGAACACTTTCAGAGTTTGGATTTCCTCCCCTTCGTTGTTTGCACTTGAATCTGAAAAATACGACATATCAGGTTCAAGAGGCAATACAGTTCGTGTAATACGACTCGACCCTTCCATAGAAAATACAGGCTCCTCCAAAGCTCATATTGAATTGATAAAAGAAAAA